CCGTTCTTGAGCACCGACTCCTCGAGCAGGGCTCAAGCTCGGGCGGCCGTCCGCGACCAAGTGAATGTCACGGAGACCATGCAAGTCGACAGTGAGATGCAGCTCGATGATCAGCACATTCTGACTCGCACCCGTTGCAAGAACTACAGGAAGTGGTGGGACGACGTCGGGTCAGATACGGCCTACGAGGACTTCGACGAAGAGCGCGAGGAGCAGAAGGGCAAGTACGACACTACGGACAAGCACGGGAACAAGGTCGCGAGGGTAAAGACCGAGGGCAACGCAATGGTGAGGAAGGGCAAGGGGGTCACACACAAACGGGGCCAGCGCACTACTACTCCGACGGATGGCCACGACGGCAACGCCGACAGTGACCGCCCGAGGCGCCGCATCAGGCTTGGTGCCGACTCCGATGCGGCCGACAGCGCTGCTGGGGGGTCGCTTCAGTCCACCTTCCGCCCGAGGCCATGCTCCCGCAGTTTCTCGTCTGGTGGAGCTGCAGGACACGCGCGCGCTGATGCAGATGAGGAGGAGCCCGAGCCTAAGATGCAACCTGCGGCAAGCCCACCTGATAAGGTCAAGAAGGATAAGGTTCCAACGCCACCGACAGCGAGCTTGGAGTTCATCAACAAGAAGGAGCAGCTGCTGGTGGACTCGGAGAAGCTCTTCGACAAGATTGCGGGCTCCAGGGGGATCGCGACCACGCTGGCGCAGTGCCGAGTGGACATCAGCAGGGCCGTCAAAGGCGACGCCTCGGGGTGCGACGACGCCGACGACGACGACGGCGAGGGAATTTCTGCCCCCACGAGGTGGGCAGAAATCCCCTCAGAAGAACACGACGACGACGACGACGAGTGAGTCTCCGCCTCGGCTGGGTTCGCACCCCAGGGCGTCGCCTTCGAAGGCGAGTTGCAACCAGATGAGCTACCTGATGGCCATGAGGACCTCGAGCACAAGATCGAGGCGCTGAAGACCGAGGTCAAGGGCTTGATCGATAAGAGCAAGAGCGTTCGCCGCGCCGAGCTGGAGGCGCTGGAGGGCAAGAAGGACGAGCTGTACGGGAAGCTGAGTGCATTGGAAGTCACCATCTCTGAGGTGGTGTCAGTCACGACGCAGAAGAAGGGGAAGGCAGTCACCCAGCAGCGCAAGGCTTACATGAACAGACGATGGCAGATCACGCAGATCGTAACCAAACTCCTGAACGGCACCTTTTCCGAGAAGCACGGGAAGTTCTTGGCGGGTTTGCTGGTCGATGTCGTGTTCACGGCCAGCGTCGGGGACACGCATCTGGCCAACACAGACGCGAAGGGCGACCCAGTTCAGCAGGCGAAGATCTTTGCGCCGAAGTGCGTGTGCTTCTCCGTCGACCCCAGCCCTGAGGAGTTCGCCTGCTCGCACGTCGTGCACTGGACGGGTGCGGTCGACTCGCCTTTCAAGGCCATCTTCGACACCAACAAAGACGTGATCAGCACCAAGCTTGAGACGTTCGAGAGCACCATGGCGGAGAACGACAAGTGGGCAGGGGCATGTGGCACGTGCGGTGATGGGTTCGTCCTGGAGGGGGCCTCGATGTACGGCTCCACGCTGGAGGACATCGACATGAGTGGCTCGAAGCCTTGGATCGTGAGCGTTCGTGAGGGCCACCGTCGCAGTGCACCAGCTTGCTCGCCGTTGGCAGGGCTCGCATGCGTCATCAAACCGATCGGTGACCAACGGATCTTCGTCCACGGGGTCGCCATGGAGCCGCTCTTGCAGATGGGCATCGCGCTGGCGGACTTCGACTCGTTCTCGAACACCGCTGCGGGCGTCGAGTTCATGAAGGCGCACTCGTTCGTGGTCGGTGCCAAGCCCGACGAGATGGTCTACTTGCCGCCAGCGTGTCTCTACTACGTCATCGCCATGACGGCCAACAACAAGAAGACGAAGACAGAGAAGGAGGTTGCTCACATGCTCCACTTGCCTGTGTGGGTCAAGAGCTGGCACGGATTCTCGGAGAATATCAAGAACGCGATTGTCGCGCTGAACGGCTCGACATTCCAGCAGAAGAGGGGCAAGCAGATGTGGGAGGAGCGCCTCGCGTGGTTCAACAAGATCCTCGAGTGTGATGCTGGTGCGATCTCTTAGGCGGCCCCCGCCCAGAGCTTGGAGCAACGACGATGGGTGCAGCGCCTTCGCTGCGGTCGTGGGAGAGCTCGGCGGGGCCGCCTTGAAAAACGCTCGTGCCGATATCAGAGTGCCGACGCAGCTCCGCCGACAGCAGAGTGCCCCCCCCCCCCGCCGCAGTGTCGGGGGGAAGGAGGAGGGTGAGGAGGAGAGGAAACGAGGAGGAGTACGAATAGGAGGTGGGGGAGGAGGATGGAGGAGGGAGGGGAGAATGAGGAGGAAAGGCAGGAGGAGGAGGAGGGGGAGGAGAAGCGAGGAGGATGAGGAATGATGTAAAAAATGAATGAGGAGGAGGATGAGCTCCTCCCTCCTCCTCCCTCTTCTTCCTCCTCCTTCTCTCCTCCCTCCCCCTCCTCCTCTTGTCCCTCCAGAACACGAGAGGGGGGGGAGGGGGGAGGGAGGGAGGGAGGGAGGGAGGGAGGGAGGGAGAGAGAGAGAGAGAGAGAGAGAGGGGCAATAGAGAGAGAGAGAGAGAGACAACGAGAGAGAGAGAGAGAGAAGGAGGGAAGGAGGGAGGGAGGGAGAGAGAGAGAGAGGGAGCGAGAGAGGGAGAGAAAGAGAGAGAGAGGAAGATAGGAGGAGAGAGGGAGAGGGAGAGAGAGAGAGAGAGAGATAGAGAGAGACAGAGAGAGACAGAGGGCGAAAGAGAGAGGCAGAGAGCGAGAGAGAGAGAGAGAGAGCAAGCTAGATATTATATAACGGGTCAGAGAGATGTAGGGGGAAAGAGACAGGGACAGAGAGAGAGAGGGATGATAGATACAGAGATAGAGAGAGAGAGCATGAGAGAGAGAGAGAGAGCGATAGAAAGTTAGACATTACAGAACGAGTCAGAGAGATGTAGGGACGGGGGCACGAGACAGAGAAACCAGGAGAGATAAACATTGAGAAACAGAGAGACACAAAGAGAGAGAGAGAGAGAGAGAGAGAGAGACAGCGAGAGCCCCCGCCGCCCCGCCGCGACGTGGGGGGCGCCTGCTGGATCGGCGCCAGGACGCCCGCCGCAGGGTCGGGGGGAAGGAGGAGGAGGAGGGGAAGGTAGGAGGAGTGCGAATAGGATTTGGAGGAGGAGGAGGATGAAGGAGGGAGGAAAGAAGGAGGAGGAGGGGCAGGAGGAGGAGGAGGAGGAGAAGCGAGGAGGATAAGGAATGATGTAAAAAAGCGGATGATGAGGAGGCGGATGAGAGTTCCTCCCTCCTCCTCCCTACTCCTCCTCCTCTTGGGCGTGAGGAACCGCAAAACGAGGGGCGTGAGGAACTTGAGCGGCAGGCACTCCTCCTCCTCCTCCTCATCCCCCCTCCTCCTTTTCCTCCTTCCCCCTCTTCTTCCTCCTCCTCCTCCTCCTCCTCCTCCTCCTCCTCCTCCTCCTAGCCATTGCTCCCGTTTACCGAAATTCAGGCTGCTTGCGCTAGCGTTTCGTTTCCGAATTTCGGAGTTCATTTTGAAGGGAGAAAAGTTGAGGCAGTTTCCTTTAGCGGCGGCTCTAGTTGAGCCTCGCCGCATTACCCGCGGGGCGAGTGGGGTGCCTTACGTTTTCGGTTTTCTGGTTGAGCCGCGGAACCCATGTCTTACCAGTTCAAGTGGTGGGCTTGTCTTCCACCGCCACCACCGTAAGTCGGAGGGGGAGGGAGTCCTCCTCCCCCTCTTCCTCCTCCTCCTCCTCCTCCTCCTCCTCCTCCTCCTCTTATTCCTCCTCCTCCGCCTCCGCCTTGGCCTCCGCCGCCTCCGTCTCCTCTTCCTCCTCTTCCTCCTCCTCCTCCTCCTTCTCCGCCTCCTCCTCCTCCTTCTCCGCAGATCGAACCCGAGGTCAGCGGCTCAAAGATCAGGCCCGGAGGGATGGGACCATCAGGGGGAGAGGCCTCGAGCAGTGTAGATATTCGACCTGGGATCCCTGTCCGCATCCACGGCCTCGCGGTCTGGACCACTGGGCCACGAGCCCGTGGATATGCGGCGATGTTTTCGCGGATGCCCCGCGCGGAACGTATCCATGCGTCCGCGTATGCTCGGGCCCCGAAGCCCAGACCGACAGAATGCGGATATCCTCAAGGCCCCGCCGTCTCAGGGCGCAGTCGTCGACCGCGTCGCCCCCGCCGTCGTCCCCGCTGTCGTCCGCGCCGCCGCCGCCGCCGACGTAGTCTCCACCGTGTCCGTTGTCGTCCTCACCGTCCGTCTCGAGGCCCCGCCATCTCAAGGCTGAGCATCATTCAACCGATCCCTATCCCAACTGACGTTACCTTCGTGCCACTGGCCGATTTCACACCCCGAGATGGGGATACGTGCCACTCCCTTCGAGTCTCGCACGTCATACGCCAAACTGGGGGGAGGGATGATGGGGCTGAGATACCCTCCCCCAGTGGGGATGGGGATCGGCCAGACGACACTGAAAGGCCCCGCAGGCCCCGTCCTCGTGCCATCCTCGAGGCCCCGCCGCCTCAGGGCCCCGCCGTTTCAGGGCCCCGTCGTCGTGCCGTCCTCGAGGCCCCGCCTCCTCCTGAGACCCGCCGTTGCCCCAAAAAATGCAACATCGCAGAAAGTCACGACCGGAGCCCCGGACCCCATCCTTCTGCGTCACTGTTCGAGCCGGATCGATCTGTGAGGGTCCCCGGGCCCGAGATGGAGCGAACACGCCCGTTGTGAAAAAATTGCAACGCCAGGATCTCAGGGGATCTCAGCGCTCCGTCCGCCTCAGGCCGCCGGAGATGCCCTGCAGGGCGGGCCTCCGCGAGGCCGCCGCGACGCCGAAACGTCGCTGAAACGTCGCCGCCGCCGCCGCCGCCGAAACATGCGCGCCGCTGGCCGGGGCCGTGCCGCCAGCCGTGGGGAGCGCTGGGTCCCCGGGCCGTCGCCCTCGGCGCCGGCGGCCTCCTCGCTGGGGTGGCCTTCGAGGGGGTCCCCAGAGATCCGACGCTCCAAAAAATTGTCATAGCACCGGCCTTGCGGACGTGCTGCAGCGGATTTAGGCGTGGATTTCTGCCCGAAGCGGCGCCTTGTGTGAATTTCGCCTGGGTGTTTGGTTAGTTTTCGTTCCTGGCCAAAAACTTGCACGAAATTCACCTCGACATCCGCAACGAACTTCTCCAGGACACTCCGGGCCCATCCTATCGTTTTCCGAACGAAATCCGCTCTGCGATGTTGGCGCCATGAAAATTGGAGCGGCGGGATTTTGGCAAGATTCGGCCTTCAGGGGCCCTCGCCGGGCCTCGGGGGCGCCAAACAACGACTCGGGACGAAAAACCGGCCCCGGGGAAGGTGTCCAGACGTCCAGGGCCCCCCCCAAAAAAATTGGAGCAGCCGGATGTCTGGGTCAGTAACTCACAGAAGCAATGACGACCCCCCCCCCCGGGTTGGATCGGTAGCACCGCACCGATACTGCTATGCTATATATATATATATGATCATGTATATACATACACACATGTATACCCAAAGGGTTTTTTTACCCAACGATAACTGTAGCACCGCGCCAGACAGCAAAGAGAAACGCTGCACGGATTGAGGGCGGTTCGTTCTCAAAACGTGGCTCTCGCCTTAGCGCCGCGCGCATTCGTTTTAAAGACCGTGCAAGAGCTTCACGGATTGAGGACGGCTCGAGTTATGGTGGGCGCCGACGATTTTCTACCATCGGCGCACCCGAGAGGCGCTGTCGAGTTTGACGGTTTGGCGTGTGCTTCCACCGTTCATGGGGCTCGACGCCCTGGTGCGAGCGGGCCAACGATCCATCTCACAACGCACTTTGCTGACACGGCTCGCGGCCTCCAAGATCGGCGATTTCACGCAGGCAACTCAAAAACATCAAAAATCAATTTCAGCTTGACAAGTCGGCGGGCACCGCCAGGATGGCCCGTGAGGGGCAAGACCAGGAGAACGGTCTCACTCGTCGAACTTGGCCGCCGCAGTCCACGCGATGTCGTACAGCTGGTGTCGATTCCAATGTTCGCCGCGCTGTCCTTCGAGGGGGGCCAAGGACCGATAAACCAGGTCCTGTCAGGATTTCCTGCAAGCGGCAGGACCAGGAGAGCTGCTGCTGCTGCTGCTGCTGCTGCTGCTGATGCTACCAGCTGTAAGAGACGATGTCTGTAGCCGTGCAAACCTGTCCAGCCACCTCCCCACGGCTAAACCCTGCGGGGAGGTGGGGGCGCATTAGGGAAAAGGTGAGAGACAAGATGAACGAGACGAGGTAACATAATGACCTGGATGGGAGTGGAGAGGGGGGGCGCCTGAACAGTAGCCAAGGTGGTAAGGGCCTCACCTGTAACTCCAGAAGGCGAACACTCAGAGGCAGGAAGGGAGAGGACTAGGAGAGCGCTCGCCCTCGTCGAGCAGCTTGGCCACCGCAGCCCATGCGTCTGCGTCCGGCCTGTGCTGATTCCAAGCTCCGCGGGGGGCCAGCGTGCGCCGCTCGCCCACGCCATGCCCGACGCTGACGTCGGCTACACGCAAGAGCGACCCTGGGTAAGAGTGGCCTTTGGTGCGCGGCTTTTTCGGGGCCGCGGGGGGCCAAACACAAGCGCGCAAGACGCCACTGCCGCCCCGCGTTCGGCGATCGGGAGGTCCCATCTGGCCCGCACCAAAGGTCACTCCGGCGAAAGGTCACTCTTACGTCTAGTCGATGGAACTATTCGTGCCTTTCGGACTGGTCGGTCCACCAAAGCCGAGCTCATCACAACAAGCGTCGCCGCCGCCCTTGGCGACGTCACCATCGCCACCGCAACGCCATCGGTCGCGTCAGCGCCCTCGCCATTGTCATCGTCGCGTGCGTCGGCGTCGTCGTGGCACTGGAAACGGAGAGGTCAAGGGCCCCGAAAGTTATATGCCGCTTGTTTGTTTTTCTATGAAAGGAACCCTAGGGCCAGTCTTCTCATCGGCAGTCGACTTGGCAGGCCCTCGGGGAACAACAAGATCCTCGCAGGGCACCTGCTGGCAGACCGCTTCCTCACCTGATGTGCCTAGATGATATTCACGGCCGGTTCGCGACGCGATGACGTCAACGTTCATGTGGGCCCCGCGTGAATCGTTTAAATACGAACGACCGAGGCTTCCTGATAGCCTCTAGCGCGTAGCGATTGGAATCGGCCGACTCCTGGGCACTGGCGGCGTTCAACCGTGAACTCCCACGCGGGGATCGTTGCCGCATCAGCCCAGCGCAAACGTGCCGCTCTGTCTCCGGGGAAAGCATCGGCCTGCTTGGAGAGATTCAGGTCGAGGATCGGACATAACATATGTGATAGTTTTTCTCGGCGTTTCGACATTGGGCGGAAAGGGGGGGGTCTGGCTCCAGACCTCTGCTTAGTGCTTAGTGCGACTGTTTGCAAGAGTGTTGCCTCTGGGGGAGACTCCACCCGCTCGAAAAAGGCACCAAAGAACAGCCAAGATCTACTCCATGGGGGGGGGGGTTGGGGGCCCGCGCTGATCGGCAAAACAATGAATCAAAAAACAATAACTATTCTCAACGTTTTGACAGTTTATCTGGGCCTCCTTGGGCGCCATCGTCGCCACATTCACTCCGAAGCTCTGGTCAGAACGCGCTCCTAGGGTGTTTCAGGGCTCGAATAGCGAAACGTCGGCCGGAAATCTGCGATGCGTCAACCCCAGACCTCCTCCGACACCATGATGTGTTCGATCTCGGTGTTTTTGTTTTTCTTCGGTTTCGGCCAGTGGGTACAGTTCAAGACCATCAACAAAAGTATCAAAATCCGCCGACCATGTCGGCGTGTGTTAGGGGCTTCTCAGTTCGAGTCGTCGTCACCGTCACTCGTTAGTCGTCGTCGCTGTCGCCCTCTTTCCCTGCGCTCTCCTTTCCCTGTGCCCGTCGCCGCTCCCCCTCTCCTTGCCTAGGCCCTCCTCCGCGAGCGCACCAGCCAAAGCAAAATTGAGCAACGTCGTAATAGACTCGAGGGGGGGTCCCAGGTCCGGTCCCAGGGTCCCGGGGGGAGTCCCTGGGGGGTCCTGGGTCAGATACGACTTCCCCTCGGGGTGTCCCGGAGCCAAAAAAGTCCAATGCGAGCCAAGAGTGTCCCAAGAGGCCCCCTAAGACGCTCCAACAGGGCTTCGGATTGCCGAAAGATCTGTCCAAGACGCCTTCACGGCCTCCACACGGCCCACGAGTCCTGCAAGACGCCCAGAGAAAACTCAAGGAGCACTCCCAAGATGGCCTCAAAACAAAAACTCATCGATGTCCTAGTTCTTTTTGAACCATTTAGGCATTCTCGCTTCTTTCGCTTCCCAGCGCTCAGGAGGCTCCCCAAATCGCCCCAAGACGGCCAAAAAAGCCTTCAGAAAAGACCCAAAGCGGCCAAAGAGGGCCCCAAGACGGCCCAAGACGCCTCATGACGCCTCAAACACGGCCCAAGAAACCCCCAGACGGCTCCAAGAGCGTGTCCAGACGAAGGACCACAACGGACATCTCGAACCCTCGGCCCCGAGAGGCTCCCAGGAACGCCCCCCCCCTCAGTCCTTTTCCTCTTCCTCCTCCTCGTCTTCTCTCCTCTCCTCCCGAAGGACGCTCGGGACGGCAAGAGGGTCCTTGACGGAGGATCCAAAAGGACATCTGGGAGCCCCCGGCGTCAAAAAGCTCTCCGAGGGCCCCGAGGGTCATCATGCTCTTCCTCCTCTTCCTCCTCGTTTTCATCGTCGTCGTCGTCGTCGTCGTCGTCGTCGTCGTCGTCTTCAGGGTCGGCGGCACTGGCCCGAAGGCCTTCTCAATAAAACGCCCGCCCTGGGAGAGGAGCCGAAATATCCAGATTGTTTCGGCGGACGTGGGGGAGCAAACGTCGGTCAAGCAACGGCGGGACGCGCAGGAGAGCGCGGGAAGGGTGGGCCAGAGGGGAGAAGGGAGAGAGGCACACTCATACCGCAAAGGCCACCGTATGCGTGCCAAGGAGCATGTCCGTGCAGTTGGGGGCGAAGAGGATGGCGAGCCGCACGCGGCGTGAGGATGCCAGGCAGGGGAGCGGGAGCTGCCGCCGGCGAGCGTCAGCTCAAAGCCGGTCCGGGCGGGGCAGCCCCCTTGGAAGCCCGCGTAGGGAAGCCGAAGATTCGATCAACGTGGGCGCCCAAAAACGCGAAGTCAGCGCGGGTATGAAGTAAAGGCGACGAGGTGGAAGCGGTCGAAGGCGCGGGAAATGCCGCTGTCGAGCGTCAACACAAAACCGATCAGGGTAGGTAAACCCCCTTGGAGGCCCGATCGGAGAAGCTGAGGACTGCGTCAACGCGGGCCCCCAAATAAGCGCGAAACCGTGAGGTATCAGGCAAAGGCGCCCAGGACGAGGGGCGATGCCAGGGGGCGAGACGAGCTGTCGACCGCTGGGGATGGACAAGAGGTTGTCGACGACCTAAAAGATCTCCAGAACCTCCCGTGGATCAAAATCACGACGTCGGAGGTCTGGCCCGATACATCAGCGATGGGCCCCCGATGGCGAGGGCAGACGTCCCCGGCCAGGCAGGGCGCGGCAAGCACGCCCCGACTTTCGCGCAAGGAACGGTTTCGTGACAATGTCGTGCCTGGCTCGCGGTGGCACGCATCAAGCGGCACAGAGCTCGACGTCCCTGTTGCCCTCGGCCAGCAGAGTGGCTTACACAGTTTCGACTCCAGGGAAGCGGGGGGTGGGTGGGAGGAACAGAAGAGGGAGGGGCATCAAGGCCCCGATTGGCAGTTTATCGTGCATGGTACGCCACGGTACGCCGTTCGTGGTGTCCCATTGCGCCCACCGCCAGCGCCGCTGGCTGCCGCCCTCCCGCCACCCTTGCCACCGTGGTTCGCCACGGCCGCCCACCGCGCTCTGGCCCTGCGCGCCTGACTGCTGCTGCTGCCCCCTGGCTGCTCATCGTCGAACTCTTCGGAGTCCGAGCGTCCCTTCTTCCTCTCGGCCGTCCCCCCCTCCTTGCTCGCCGGCCAAGTCGCTAGCCAGTGCCCCTATCTAGCTTCTCGCTGGAGCGGAGTTCGCCGTCTCGCCGCTGCTGGAAAAGTGTATCGTGCATGGTATGGGCGAGGGGGAGGAGGAGGAGGAGGAGGAGGAGGAGGAGGAGGAGGAATGAGGAATGAGGAATGAGGAGGGAGGAGGAGGAGGAGGAGGAGGAGGAGGAGGAGGAGGAGGAGGAGGAGGAGGAGGAGGAGGAGGGGGTCGACGTGCCCCCCTTCCGCCCCGAGGCAATCGCCTGGCGCGCCTCCGCTGCCGCCCGCCACCGCCACGACCACGACCAGAGGGCGCCAGGGCTAGGCCGGGCACGCCCCCCATACGGGCGGGGCTTTGGACGGAAAAAAAACGAAATGCCAAAACATATGCAGAACATGCTAACAAACATCGTCCCCCGACACACTTCTGACGCCCATGGGCCCGAGGCTCAGGTCGGGCATGTCCTCCTGCAGGCAGATTTGGGAGGAAAGATTGCCCCCCGCAAAAACACAAACCAAAACCGCCCCCAGACTATTTTGGTTGACGACGACGACGACGACGACGACGACGACCACGACGACCACGACCACGACCACGACGACGACGATGACGACGACGACAACTATTTTGGTTGACTATTTCTGCGTATCCCTCCTGTGGAAGGACGTGCCCGACGGCACGCCAGGGCCGAGGCAGGCCTCCGGAGGCCGCGGGTCCCCAGAGCCCGCCCCGGAGAGCAGAACCAAACCCTCGACCCTCACGAGGACGAGGACGAGGACGAGGACCACGACGACGACGACGACGACCAACGACGACGACGACGACGACGGCGACGACGACGACCACGACAACGACCGACGACGACGACGACGACGACGACGACGACGACCGACGACAACGACAACAACGACCGACGACGACGACGACCGCACGACGACGACGACGACGACAACGACCGACGACGACGACGAAAACGACAATGATCGACGAGGACGACGACGACGACGACAACGATAACGATACCGACGACGACGCCGACTACAGCGACGGCGACGGCGACGACGACAACGAGGTGGACAACGATCATACGGACGACGGCGACGTGGACAATTGTCCAAAAGAGGACATGGACGACGGCGACGACGAATACAACGGCAGCTCGGCTACGCGCAAGAGTGGCGAAAGTCACCTCTTGTGCGCAACCTGCCGATCCTTGCATGCGATGCGGCAGTTGCGGCCCGCGCGCCTGGGCTTGCAGCCGCCCTCCTGAAATCCGGGCACCAGAGGTCACTCCAGCAGCGGGTCACTCCTTGCGCGTATCAGGCCGAGCGCAAGAGGGGGGGTAGTAAAGGAGGGACATAGAGCATAGAGTCCGCTCACGCAGCCGATTTCCCCGGCATCTCCCTGCGCAGGAGGCGCGAGTGATGCGCCTGGCGCCGAGGCCGAAGCCAACTGCTTGCAACAGATTTCGCCCCCCCGCACCCCCCTTCTCTCTCAGCCCCCCATCGTCACCGTGTAAGCATTTGTAGGGCATCCCGCCGCAAGTGTGCGATGTATAGGATTGCTGCCGCTGCGCCGTCAGTGCGCGGGTGCTTCTCACTCAAATGTGGTCTGAAACTTCTGATTATTCTGATTCGTATTGAAAATATTCATTTGCCCGTCCTGGGAAGCTGAAAGATACGGACACCGCTGCGTACTACCCGGACCTCACCCGAGGTGCATTCTGGCCAGAATTCCGAAGCTTATCAAGCCGGGGCGGCCAGGGCCTCCCAGGAGGCACAAAAAAGGCGACAACGAGGCAAGGGTAGCGGGTAGAGGTGCCGGTACCGATACCCGACCCTCTTCTGATACAAGTATCCTTGTCATGACTCTGAGTGCGCTTCTTCCTATTATTACACTCGTATTTCTCTTCGTCCGAATCTGTATAAAGAAAATCCTGCAGGCCTCGCGTTGCAACTTAATGATACCGGAGAAAAACTCCAATCCGATGTTTTTAATATTCCAATTGCTCCCCTTGTAATCGGGCTATAGGGTGGGCTATAGGGCTATAGGGCTATAGGGCTATCGGGCTATAGGGCTATAGGGCTATCTGGCTATAGGGCTATAGGGCTATAGGACTGTGACCTATAGGGCCATAGGACTATAGGGCTATGGGGCTATAGATCTATATGGGCTATGGGGCTATAGGGCTATAGGGATATAAGGCTATTAGGGCTATAGGGATATAAGGCTATAGGGCTACAGGGCTATAGGGCTATACGGCTATAGGGCTACTGGGCTATAGGGCTACTGAGCCGATTTACGTCGGATCCACGTCGGATTTACGTCGGATTTACGTCGGGTTCACGTCGGATTACGTCGAATTTATGTCGGACTGGCGCCGGAGCATCGTCGCGCAAACGTCGACCCATAGCTTACGGACCTGACGTGTGAACTAGACAATACTACTATTACGCGCCGCGCGAAGTCTCCAGGATGTTCCTCATAATGATCTTACTCCTTCCCCTCTCGTGTGACCCGAGGTGTGGCCGGGCGGCGACGTCGCCTGGCTCCCCAGCCGCCGCTTCGCCCGCGGGGCCGCCGCCGCCGGGCTCTGCGGCCGCACCCTCGCTCTCCGCGCCGTGCGCCGCGCCGCGCGGGCTGGCGGCCTCCTCCTCCTCCTCTTCCTCCTCCTCGGGGATTTTAGGAGGCAGTTTTTTTTTGTTTTGACGTTGTTTCCCAGCGCACGATATTCGTTTTGTCTTTGTTTCCCATCGCAAGATGACACCACAGATGAAAGAAAAAGATGTGTCTCAAATGCAACCTCTTTGTTTCACCATACCGAGCACACCATGCCCCTGGACCCCTTTCAAAGCAGGGATCAACAGAGCACAGATTTTAGGAGGCAACTACTGGGAGGTCTTCGTCGGAAGAATCCGAACGAAAGTTGAGCCCCATTGGGGGGCTGCTACGCCAGATTGTGCCGCGAGCTAAGCGGGATTAAGCCGGATAAAGCTGGGACAGCCGCACAATCCGGGATCAAGTCGGATTAAGCCGGACTTCGGACCAGGGCAAAGTCCGAATTTGACCTCGCAGGAGCTGCATCCGAAGGGATTCGAATGAGGGACAGGAACTTTTGCGCAGCGCGTCGCGGCGGCGGTCCTGGCGACACGCTATGCCATGCAAGCGGACAGCGTGCCGCTCCGGTCTGCGGGGTAAGCGGTAAGCGGCTTCGAAAGGTTCGGTACGTTGACGCTCGAGGTCCGGGACGCGACTGGCGTGCCACACCGAGGCGTGGTAGGCCAGAACCGGCGTCGCGACACTTGGATCCAGCGTTCCTGACCGTACGTCAGGACAGCCCCCAGGCGTTGGCATCTCGGGCGGGTGATGGGGGGTGACCCAAATAGGGGTGATCCCTCTCTTGAGCCCATCTTGGGGCCGTTTTCAGGGCCTCTGACGCCGTCTTGGGCGCCCCTGTGGCCGTCATGGAGCCATATGAGGCCGTCCCTGGGAGGCTCCTGGGTCAGATACAGTTCCTAAGTCCCTGGAAGGGTCCTGGATCCCTAGAGTCCTGGGGGTCGTAGTTCAGTCGAAGGGCGCCCCTTTCCTTTAATCCCTCCAAAATGCTCCAGGACGGGTCAGGAGTGCCCGAAAAGGCCCCCAAGACGATCTAAGAGGGCCCCGAATCGCCGAACGATCTGTCCAAGACGCCTTGGCGGCCTCCAGACGGCCCATGGGGCATGCAAGACGCCTCAAGAGGCCTCCATGAGCACTCCCAAGAAACCTCTAAGAGGAACACATCGCAAATTCCCTGTAAGTTTTTGAAAGATTCTGGCGGTCTCGCCTTTTCCGCTTCCCGACGCTCCAAGACGACCCAAGAGGCCCCCAAGATCGCCACAAGACGGCCCAAAGTCCTCCAAGAGGATCCCAAAATGGCCCAAGAGGGCCCCAAGACGGCCCGAGACAACTCCAAGACAGGCCAAGAGGCACCCAAGTCGGCTCCAAGAGGGTGCCCAGACAGGAGGCCCGAACGGACATCTCAAGCCCTCGCCTCCGAGAAGCGCTCAGGACGCCCCAAGAGCCCTCCAAGACGCCCCAAAGAAGCCACCAGGAAGCCCTTGGAGACCCCGGAGAGGCACCCAAGAGGCCCCCCAAGAGTGTTCCAAAGCGCCCCCAAATCGCCCACCAGAGGCCCCCGAAAGTACTCCGAAGAGACCCCGACAAGCATCCTTAGAACTCTGACCCACGTGAGCGTCGTCGTCGTCGTCGCCGCCTTTTGCACCCCCGGTGCTCCGCAACCTTACCTCGACCTCTCCCTCCCCCTCCTCCTCCTCCTCCTCCTCCTCCTCCTCCTCCTCCTCCTCCTCCTGCTCCACCACCGACACAGTCGCAAGCTGGAACTCCTGGAACTCTTCCTGATCCACCGCGTCCTCCGCGTCCTCCTCATCCTCCTGCTCCTCCTCCTCCTCCTCCTCCTCCTCCTCCTCCTCCTCCTCGTCCTCGTCGTCGTCTTAATGGTCGGCGGCACCGGCCGCAAGGCCTTCACATCATGTTTGCCTCTCGAGGCACTCGTCTGGGGCCTCGGGCGCTCAGTGAAGCCTGCCCCGGGCCGTCCCGGCGCCTTCTTGGGGTATCCAGGGAGCCTCGCGGGGCTGTCTTGGAGGTTTCGCGACCCTGCGGGCATCATGGAGCCCTGTTAGGCCGTCCCGGGGCCCTCCTGGGAGCCTCTTGGCCCGTCTTGAAATGGTGTTGGAAAACTCTTTGGCCGACGTGGAATGTCGGAATCTCGAACAGTAGAGGGCACCACAAACATAAAAACACCAAAGGGCGATCAACAACTGTGGCCTCTCGGGGCGCTTGTCTAGGGCCTCGGGCGCCCACTGCAGCCTGCCTGGGGCCGTCCCGGGGCCGTCATGAGACCTCTGGGGAGCTTCTTAACGCGAAAGGCTCGAAATTTCGGTTCCTGCTTCCCCTCTGGAAGCAATCTTGAGGCCGTCTGTAAGGTTAGGTCGGGCATGTCCCCCTACAGGCGGACTTCTGGACGAAAAAATAGCCTGGCGAGAGACCCAACCATGCGCAATTGTGAATACCGCAATTGTGAATAGATTCTTCGGTGGCGCTCCCTATGGGGTCACGAGCCGTATGAGGGGCGTGCCGAATTGCGCAATAGGGTGCACAACGCGAACGAAAACGATAGGTCTGAATATGAAAGCTTGGGCGCGTGCGAGTCTAAGCGCGAGTGAATCTGATTATGAGTGAATACGCGCGCGATTGATTCGATCTGCATGACTGCGAGTATGGGGTCGCCTAGTGTAAATGCATGCGACTGCGAATGATGGTTTGGGTCTGCCTGACTCTGAGAACACGCGACACTGCGCATAGTTTCCGCAAGGAGTTTTCCTGGGAACCCCGACAACAGCGCCCGCGCGCCGCGACGCCCATGTCGGCGCGCCCCACACGAGGATCGCGCCCGCTCCCCCCCCCCTCTCTTCCTTCCTACTCGCCCGCGCGCTCCAAAGTTCAAGGCTGCGGGCGCCGCGCAACGCGGGGCCCCCGAGACGCGCGCAGGTCGCCACGAAAAGGGTCGCAGTGACGCGCGCAGTTCGTCCGCTACGCGGATCGCAGGCTAACCGATGGCGCGCGCGGCTCTGGCCGCCGGGCGGAGCGACGAGGGGCGAGCGAGGCGCTGGGCAGAGCGCAGCGCGGAGTTCGCGCGACGCGCGCTGGTCGCGCCGAGAGGATCTCAGCGACGCGCGCGGCTCGTCCGCGACGCGAGGCCAAACGGTCGGGCAGCCAAGAGAGGGCCCCGCTGGGGCGGGCCGCTTCTCAGGTTTGCCCTCGCGGATAAACTCAGTGAAACCGAGCACCGCGGCGAGGGCCGTGGCTTCCCTCCTGCACCGCCTCGCGCGCGCCGCAAGCTGCTCCAGCTGCTTCCGCAAGCCCGCCGGCGGCCCAGCCAGGAAGAACTCGATGCGCGGCGCCCGCATGAGCAGGAGGTCCTCGTGGCGCGCGGCGCGCGAGAGGAGCGCGTAGGAGCTCCAGCCACCAAGGCAACCAGTCGTCGTCCTCCTTCTTGCCGTTCCCGACCTCGTGGCGGCCGCAGTCCAGGATCACGCCTGGGCGACGCCGGCCGAGGGAGCGGTGCGCCGGGCAGCCGACGGCCCAGGGCGAGAGTCCACAGGACCGAGGTCTGGCTGCGGACTGCTCGCTCCATGGAAATCTGGCCGTCCCCGGAGCGCCCTTCCCTCGCCCCGTCGCCTTCTCGCATGGAGCGCCCCCAGCACGCCGCCGCGGCGATTGCCCTGCCGCGCGAGAACGGGAAGCCGGTCCGGGTGACCTTGGAGGTGCGGAAGGTGAACGGCTCCGACGTACGGGGCTCGATGAACACCAGCGGGTCCGCGAGGTCCCCCGTGAGGCTGTCGTCGTGGCGCTTCAGGTCGTCCACGAAACGTGTGACGGGTGTGCCGAATTGGGTGTGCGGGGCGCGTGCGGGCGGCGGCACTGGAGCCTTCGGTGCAGCTCCCTCTGGGGCCGCGAAACGTGTGAGGGGTGTGCCGAATTGGGTGTGCGGGACGCATGCGGGCGGCGGCGTTGGAGCCTTCGGTGGCCGAATTGGGTGCGGGACGCATGCGGGCGGCGGCACTGGAGCCTTCGGTGGAGCTCCCTATGGGGCCACGAAATGTGTGAGGGGGGTGCCGAATTGGGTGTGCGGGACGCATGCGGCCGGCGGCATTGGGGCCTTCGGTGGAGCTCCCTTTGGGGCCACGAAGCGTGTGAGCGGTGTGCCGAAGTGGGTGTGCGGGACGCATGCGGCCGGCGGCACTGTGGCCTTCGGTGGAGTCCCCTATGGGGCCGCGAGACGTGTGAGGGGTGTGCCGAAGTGGGTGTGCGGAGCGCATGCGGGCGGCGGCACTGGGGCCTTCGGTGGAGCTCCCTATGGGGCCGCGAAACATTTGAGGGGTGTGCCGGATTGGGCGTGCGGGACGCATGCGGCCGGCGGCACTGGGGCCTCAGGTGGAGCTCGCTATGGGGCCACGAATCGTGTGAGGGGTGTGCCGAAGTGGGTGTGCGGAACGCATGCGGCCGGCGGCACTGGGGCCTTCGGTGGAGCTCCCCATGGGGCCATGAAACGTGTGAGGGGTGTGCCGAAGCTGATGACGCTGATGGTTTCGATGATGGCGATGATGATGGTAATGAGGATGATAGTGACGATGACGATGGTGATGACGATGATGAGGACGACGACGATAACGGTGACGATGACGATGACGATGATGATGATGATGATGATGATGAAGATGATGATAATGATGATGCTGATGCTGATGCTGATGCTGATGCTGATGCTGATGCTGATGCTGATGCTGATGCTGATGCTGATGCTGACGATGACGATGACGATGACGATGACGATGACGATGACGATGACGATGATGATGATGATGATGATGATGATGATGATGATGATGATGATGATGATGATGATGATGATGATGATGATGATGATAGTGATGATGACGATAATGATGCTGGGAGGGAGGAGGGGGAGGAGGAGGGAGGACGCGGGGCGCTGTCTCTTCGAAACGAGGACCCAACACCACAGGATGGTTGGGAAATGCCCAAGAAATGTTGCAACGCGTTCAAAAATCCACAGACTATGTTTGGACTATGTTTTGATATTCCTCCTGTAGAA